TCTGGATATTGGGTGGCACGAAATATTTTAAAAAAGGAAGAAATGCCGGTAGTTAGTGAACCTAGTATTACTAAATTACAAGCGCAAGTTTGGAAGGTGTGAGCTCCACAAAAGATGTGCCATCTTATGTGGCAGATAATATCAAGTCAGTTGGCTGTTACGAGCATCTTAAATTATCGACATATGCGGTGTGATCATTATTGTCCACGTTGTGGAGAACCGGAGGAATCGATTACACATGCCATTTTCATGTGCCCTCCTGCAATGCAAGTCTGGGCATTATCGTCAATACCCACTAGTCCTTCTTTGTTTCCATTACAGAGCACATATGAGAACATGGACTATCTTTTTTGGAGGAAGAATGCCATAGGGGAACTGGCAGTAGACATGGATCCTTATCCATGGCTAATTTGGTATATTTGGAAGGCTCGAAATAACAAATTGTTTAAAGGAATTGATAGAGACCCATTGGAGACAGCACGATATGCAGAGAGTGAATGCCTTGCCTGGTATAAAGCTAACGAGCAGACGTCCTTGCCTTCTCAAATCGACACGAATGGCGATAACCAGATCATAAGTCTGGGGAATATCTGTCTGGTGGATGGTTCCTGGACCTCTACAGCTCAATATAGCGGATGTGGATGGGTATGGCAGGATAGTATGGGGAATGGTCAGCTGATGGGGTTGCGTAACTTTGATAGAGTGGAGTCTGCTTTACATTCTGAGCTGAAAGCACTGCGGTGGGCAATGGAGAACATGCTTCAACATTCGCCATGCCAGAGCTTTGGGACGGATTGTAAGGAAATGATATCAATGCTAAAGAAACCACAGGATTGGCCAAGCTTCTCAACGGAACTGGAAAAGCTCGCTACCCTGCAGATTTGCTTTCCCGAGTTTAAAATTGTTAATGTGCCTAGAACACAGAATGGTTTTTCCGATTCACTAGCTAGGACTGCTCGATCCTTTCATCGAGAGTTGGTGTTTGTAGGTTGTTATATTCCGGTCTGGATTCCCAGACCACCTCAAACTTGAGTAATAGATCACGGTTCGTTGTCAAAAAAAAAAAAAAAAAGGTAAAATAAAATAGAAAGGGCGGGTCACGATCTATTAATTGAACCACAAATTGATGTAATACGGTACATTACACAACTTGTTCAGTGAAAAGATTCTAATAGCCCTAAATTCACCGACAGAGTATGTTTCGGCCCCAATAAAGCCCATTTAGGAATGTTGCATATAAAGTTTAGTCAAATCTACGGTTTCGTCCTAAAGCACTGAAGCTATTCTAGGGTTTGTAAATCCATCAGCGATGAAAAGTATGGAGCAGCAGTCGTCGAAGGGTCTAGTATTAACCACATCCGGACATGAAACACAATCAGCAAACTCGGTAAGAGAATACTCAGATCCACCAATCCATGATGATCTACTTGTCGAGATATTCTCTCGAGTCCCGGCAAAGTCTATAGCTAGTTTTCGTTGCGTTTCGAAATTCTTGGGATCCATATTTTGCCGTCCTGATTTTACTGACTTGTTTTTGACTATGTCTTTGACTCGTCCACGGTTCCTTTTCACCTTAGAAGTTGATGAAAAGTTGTTCTTATACTCTTCACCGCAGCCTCATAATCCAAGCGATATCTCTTCTCTTGTAGCCACCCCTTATCAAACGCATATCTTTCCAGAATATATTACATTTGATATCTCTAACACACTCTGTGGGTTGGTAATATTTCGGAAGATGCGTGTGATTTGTAACCCTGCCACTGGAGAGTTTCTAACCTTACCCAATCTTCTTAAAGAAAACATCTTACCCAATGGTAACTCCGCAGTGATCGCAGATATGTATCTTGGGTATGATCGGATAGGAAAACGGTTTAAAGTGTTGTGTGTGACCTCGTCACGTGGTAAAAGATTCAATACTCATCAGGTCTTGACGTTGGAATGTGGAAAGCTTTTATGGAGAATGGTAGAATGCAAGTTCCATTTTGAGAAGACCAATTGTATATCTACTCATATATGTATAAATGGTGTTTTGTATTTTGAAGCTAAGTTGGGGAAAAATACTGTTATAGTTTGCTTCGACGTTAGGTCTGAGAAGTTCGGGTTTATTAACACAAATGAAGACATGGAACAAGCGCGTGCATCTGTGTTGGATTATTTAAAACTTTTTAATTACAAAGGTAAATTAGGTATACATCATATGAAGGATTATATATATGAGAAAAGATTTGAGATGTGGGTTCTAGAAGATGCTGGAAATCATAAGTGGTCCAAGAATGTCTACGTATTATCTCCTTTAGATGAAGATATGATCAAGCATACCAAGTTTGCTGGAGCGACTGGTAGAGGTGAAATTGTATACTCGTCATATCCGTTCCACCCTGTAAACCGGTACTTCGTTGTCTTCTACAACGTGGAGAGTAAGACTTTTACAAGAGTCAAAGTTGAAGGACTTGAAGTTGAAGAGGGTAAGAAGGATCATTTTATAAACACATTGATAGGCTATGTGGAGAATTTGGAGTTTATGTAATAAGTGTGTTGAAAAGGCTTTCACGTATTGTTATCTGATACTTTAGATTTCTCCCTTTCAAGTTGTTTGGATTTCTTTTTTTTCTTTTTTTCATGCATATTTCTAAGTTTTGTTTACTTTATCAGTCATGCTCTTTCTCCGGTTGCTTCCTCGAGATTTTTTTCTACTCTCACTCTAAGCTCATTATTGTTTGATTGGATTACACGTTTTAGCTTTGGCATCAAACACATGGATGTATGGTGGTGGTTATCGTCGAAAGTTTCATTTTGAGTATGTTGATTGTTTTTTTTTTTTTTTTTTTGAGAAATAGAGTATGTTGATAATTGATATTCAATCAAACTTACACAATCTTCAAAAGATGCATTTATAATAGAAGTAAATAGAAAACTGAAGTAGTTGGGCAAACACTATTGTCTCAAACAAGATCAAAGGCCATGAAAAAAGAATAAAAACAAAAACTATAGTTGATATTAAAGATTCTGCTAAACCTTCCTAAGATGCTTATACTATGGAGAAGAGATGAGAATGTTGACCACAATTGTTGTTTGCGAATGGAATGCTGGTTTCCTCCATAATGTTTTGAGGCCAGTTGGTTGGACATTGTTGGGCATGATATGATACGCTGTGCAGAGAGATGTTGAGCTCACGGTTGATTAGCTTCTCATGAAGCTCTGCGAAGATGGGGAGTGCCAAGGGACTCAATTATGGCTTTGTAGTTATCATTGAGACCGTCAAGAATGATGTCAGTGAGGTCCTCTGGATCCACTGAACTGCCAAGTAGAGCAAGTGCATCATCAGCTTTGACCCTGATCACTCGTCGATGAACTTTGTGCCTTTGACACTCTGCTTGACTGAGCTGCTTGATATGACCGCGTGACGGTTTGGCATATGTCAACGCAAGCAGGTTCCAAGCTTCAAGTCTTCAGGTTGAGATCGACATTTTTGAGATCATGAGGAGGAGATTCACTCTACCAGCTTCTAGTTCTTCTTGTAATCTGGTTTGGATAAGAAACTTTTATAGAGTTGTGGATATCATTGATGCGGTTTCAAATCCAACGCTATGATGATAAATTTGAGAAAATCGAGTTGTGAGAATCGATGGATCTGTTGCTAGATTCGTCGCAAGTATGAGTGTAGAAGTTCATAGTGGTTTTGATGTGCTTAAGTTTGATGGCTTAAATGCGTTAGTTTGGATTCCAAAAATGGAGAAGTTATTCAGCATTGGTGGTTATGGAGGCAACGATAGATTGACACTGGTATGTATACCTACCTACCTGTACTTGAGAGGTGATGCATTGAAGTGGTTCTTACGAGTGATGCGCAGACAGAGACTCAAGGAGTGGGATGAGTTTAAGCAACAACTGTTGGATCGATTTGGTACTGTTGAGAGTTGTTCTATCGTAGAAGAAGACTCACTCTCTGTGGCTGCTCAAGAGGCAGATATGCTAATTAAAAAGGACTCACTGCCTGAGACTGATCAAGATTTGGGTTTGCACTGACTAGTCATGGTGAGCAGTGAACTTGTTCATGAGATAGAAGAAAGTCCAGAACATACTGAAGAAAAATTCCAGATGCCTCAGACGTGGACTGCTGTTTCTAAGCTTTTTTCTGTGTCAAGAGTAAACGAAGACCACATAAGAGGGAGCAGAGGAAACACATGCAGTTTCAACGTAGGAGGAACCAGTTGTCAGTTAAATCATGGATGTTTAAATTCACAGTAAAGATATGTCACCTTCTGTCCAGAGACTGATGAAGAAAGGGTTTGTTAAGCCTCATACAAAACTCTTGAGACATGAAAGTCTATCATGTGACAAAGAAGAAAGTGACGTGGTGGTCAAAGGAGTTTGTACAAAGTTTGTGTGCTTCTGGTTTAGATCACGTGTATTGGGGGAATACAAGGGTGAGTATTTTCAGAATGTTTCAGTAGTTGTTGAAGTTGGAATCGTATCTAGAGGGAGTTGTTCTGCAACGGTTTTCTGTACATCTGTTTAGGGAACACATTTATGAGCAATACAGAGGTATTGCATCCTCTATAGTTCAGCCACATTCTCTTACCAATCTGATTCCTTCTGAGGCGAGTAGGATAAAGCAGAGCAAATGTGTCATATCATGGAAATTCGAGTATAAACCAGAGAAGAAGGAAATGAAGAGACAAGACAATCAGGTTTTATATATTCTACATCTTTGGTCAAATATGGGAGGGAATTGTTTAGTCTGACAGAGAAACAAACGTTGGTGTTGTTTTGGCATTCTCGAATCCAATGTTTGTGGTTAGGGGTTGAAGGGTGGATATTGTTGTGCATAATTGTAACATCCTAAATCTTCAATAGCCTCTTACAAAGAAAACATGTGTTGTTACTTTTACGTTTGTTGCAATGCATAACGGAGGTGCAAACTTAAAGTAAAGATTGATCTAACCAGAAGCCAACCATTTTCTCTTACCAAAGGGTCGGTCACCTTACGAAACAAATATACAGAACCTAATATCTCTTTCAAATTTAACATTCCATCGGTTGTTACTTAGTAAGTATTAACAAAATGTCGAGACTGTAAAGTAGAAAAGAAGATGCTCGACTATCCTTTTATATCACAGAGAAAAGCTATCTTCTTTCTACTTGACACTGATTATTCGTTGTGCGGAACTATTCACTCGGCAGAACCGTCGTGCGAAAGTACGTACTCTAGGCTGCAACAAAAAAAAAAAAACAATATATGTCAACACATGTCATAAAAACGAGAAAGCAGATGCCAAGAGCACTGAGTTAACCAAAACAATATACACTGAACACTGAGTTAGCCATTAGCCTTCGAGAAAGAGTTATCTTAACAAAGGGACATGTTTCACACATACATCAAGATCACTGTAGCACAAGTTGACATGACAAAGTAATGCTGCCAATTGAAAATTTGAAATGCCCAGATTGAAACAACACCTTGGTATCTCTTGGTTTCTTCCGCAAGTTTTCCTGATAGCTCAGACGGTGGTTCTTCCTGCAAGATATAACAAAATTAGAACTAAAGCGTCAATACATGGATGAGCCAGGAGAGCTAAAATTACACTGATTTGAAACTAATAGAAGCTTCATATGATGATACCTTTTTCGTTTCCAAAGCTTCTTCAGCAGTCGAATCATCTTCTTCATTACTGTTAAAGAAAACCCCTACATGAACAGAAGACTGGAAAAATTGTAAGAGTTGATCTTCTAAGAAGAAAACTTACAGTTCCTCGCGACTCCCTCTGGCGTTAGATCCCTAAAAAGATAAAAGGAGATCAAAATGACTCAAGAAGTGACAAAGACTTGTGACTCACCAAATATAATGAAGGGATTTAGTCATGGACAGCAAACACAAAGGTTAAAAACGATAAAATCATGCAAGAAAATATACCAAGAGAATAATTCAAACTTCAAATCAAACAGTCTAGATAATGAGCTTTCGTAAGTAAATAAGAGAAACATAGGGGAATTGAGTGCCAGTGGACATGCTGAAGGGGACAAAAGAAACTATCTAAGCTCACATTCAGCAAAAAGGAGATTCTAGTTACAAAGTCAAGCGATAGAAAGGCTGAAGGGGACAAAAGAAACTATCTAAGCTCACATTCAGCAAAAAGGAGATTCTAGTTACAAAGTCAAGCGATAGAAAGGCTAAAACACAGGATCCAAACTATGTACTATGTGAGACATGAGATACATAGAAGCTAAGCAATTTTCAACAAAGATACATAGAATCAGTTGACATCAAAAGGTACCTCCTCATCATGCCTTGTTGCAGAAGCTCTTTCTGGTGAAGTAGACCTTGCACGCCTTGCTCTAGTTAGTGACTCATCGTCATCGTCTGTTCTTGCTCTTTTCCTTTCTTCAGTTTTCTCTCTCCATGAGCCTCTTCTTTTATCCCCATTACCAACCTGATGCACCAATGTGAGACATGAGAGTACAAGAAGCAAAAGGCAAAACAATTTTCAACAAGGATACATTGACATCAATAGGTATCTAAACAATTTTCAACAAAGATATACATTGACATCAATAGGTATCTAAACAATTTTCAACAAAGAAACATAGCAGTTGACATCAAAAGGTACCTCCTCATCATGCCTTGTTGCAGAAGCTCTTTTTGGTGAAGTAGACCTGGCACGCCTTGCTCTAGTTAGTGACTCATCGTCGTCGTCTGTTCTTGCTCTTTTCCTTTCTTCAGTTTCCTCTCTCGATGAGCCTCTTCTCTTATTTCCATTACCAACCTGATGCACCAATGTGAGACATGAGAGTACCAGAAGCAAAAGGCAACCTTTACTAGCATATACACTAAACCTAAAATATTTTTAAAAAAGATACATAGAATCAGTTGACATCAAAAGGTACCTCCTCATCATGCCTTGTTGCAGAAGCTCTTTCTGGTGAAGTAGAGCTCGGACACCTTGCTCTAGTTAGTGTCTCTGTTCCTGCTCTTTTCCTTTCTTCGGTTTCCTCACTCCCTGAGCCTTTTCTCTTATCCTCATTACAACTCTTATGTTCCAATGCTTCTGGGTCTGTAGCAACCACCAGATCCTCCAAAGTTGCTTGGTGCATAGCAGCCGACAGATCAAACAAAACCTCTGCATCCTTCAAATCCTCCGTATCATTATCCAATTTCAACAGACCCCAAGCCACCATATCCTCCAACGTCACTTCTACCACTGGATGAGCAACCACGTGTGGCTGTTCATCTAATATTCCCCATCTGGTTTTCAATAACAAAATATTAGATTGTGAAAAGAATAGAATTATGGATTATTATGTGGGTGAGATTCTTACGCTAAGTTATGCCACCGAAATCTGGTCTTTATATCAGCGAACAACACCAAGGAACTCTCGTCTATAGGGTCAAAATATGCAAGAAGGAAATTGTATCCTGGCCGTGGACGCTTAAGAATTTGAGCGAGACCACTATCACAGTATCGTTGAATCAGCATTATATTCCCTGGACCCTCCTGGTGTTGATTAATCCAAGCGTTCAAATCGTAGAAAAGACGGAAGCCAAGATTTTCTGTTTCAAGAAAAGAATGCCAACATCATTAACTGATGACACAAATCAAGAAACAGTAATAATAACTATAAACGGCGGTGGAAGATAGTTAACCGGTGTCCAAAACAGCCACAGCAGTCTCGAATGTAACTCCAATGGAATAGAGTTTTTCATAGGAGGAAGGAGGAAGGAATTTCGAGTCATAGGCATAGACATGAGACAATCGACCTCGGTAGTTCAGATTACGGAGAACCGCCCTTATATTCTTAACGATCATCGCAGCTTCGGCACCTTCGGGAATCGGCATGGTATACATATCCCAGAATACTACCGTTTCAGCCCCCTCATATTGAGGCTCCGCAACATTGTTCACCATCATCTCCATTATGTTTTTCGTTCTAGTGAAAACCGGCGGCGGCGAGATTACAAGATTTTGTTTCTGCAGCGGCGGAGAGATTACTGGAGCCGAAGATGGGGTTTACGATTTTTTCGTTTTTCCTTTTCTCCTTTTATAGGGTTTTCCGGGCCTATTATATTGGGCCACATTTGACAAAGACCTGACCCTTTTTGAATTAAAAAATTGGCCATTTCTTAATAATATGTTCCCCAAGGCCGAAACAATCATTGATTTAGAGGATAACTCTAACACCTGTCTCATCTTTTCTCCTGCTACTTAATACCCATACTAGTAAAATGATTGTCAAATTGAAGATTATAAACATTACATCAATTGTAAATCTATGTAGACAACTATATCAGTAAAAATAAAAAAAAACTTACAGATTGAAAACCCTCTATGCTTATATAATAAGCTGACATACTTTGAATCCTTTTTGCACCCTAAAACAAAAGACTTTAAGCAAAAACAAATAAAAAACAAAAGATCGACTACACAGATATCAAACAATACATTAATGTTTGTACAATAGAAAATATGAATATATGAGTTTTATTTACACCGAAAAAGTTCAAACTTCAAAGTCAATTATTTTGATAAAATCATACACTTTCATTCACATCGACAACAATAATGCATGAATTAACAAAGAATTCCAGATAACCATGCGTCCGAGGTGAGCAATGTCAAATATGAAGTTTAGAACCAAAAAATAAAAGGTTTAGAACAAAAATGGTTCAATAATGCATGAATTAACAAAGAATTCCAGATAACCATGCGTCCGAGGTGAGCAATGTCAAATATGAAGTTTAGAACCAAAAAATAAAAGGTTTAGAACAAAAATGGTTAAAAATGTTTTTGTCAAAAAAAAAATATATAATCAGAAAAGTCAATATATATGGTTGAAAACCTTATGTGAAAAAAAAATAGTTATATCTTTATCATATGAAAATCTAACATTGATGGTTTGCTAGTGCTATCTTGAATTGTAATAAGGAAAAATGTTATTTTAGGCCAAGACAATTAGGACATTGTCTCTTTAGGTTAATTTATATTTTGTACTATTTTTTATTATAATGCCTTAAGTATTTTCAAAATTAATCAAAAATATTTTTATGAACAAAAAAAAATCAAAAATTCGCAACTAATGATGAAATTACATATATTAACTTAGTGGTATTATTTTTCAGTTATGAAAATGTTTAAATCATAATTTCATATTTTATTCTACATATATTATTTTTTCATAAAATCTATCTACTATGTTCAGAATAAATGTTCTAAGTAAATAATAGTAATCTAAAACTATTTATAATACACATTTCGTACTTAACCTAACCCTCTAAAATCCGTAGAAATCAGAATCTAAACCTTACTATTAAATCTAAAATAAGTAAAAATTAGAATCTACACATTACTATAAATCAAAAACCTGTAGAAATTGATTTCAAACATTCTTATTGCATTCTACATATGGTAGAATACATATTCTACAGATAAGTAGAATCAGTTGTGGAAATTTGGAAAAAAAACATTTAGAAATATAAAATTCATAATTAGAATTTACAATTAATAAATATTTCCAAAAATATTTTTAAAAATATATTTGGACATAATTTTATAAAAAAAATATTTCGAAATGTTTTTTTTAATATTTGGAAATAGTTTTTTTTTTAATTTTTGGAGTTTCGAATAATTAAAAAAAAATATTTGGAATTATTTTTTAATTTCGAATAATTTTTCAAATCTTTTAAATTTCGAATTAGTTTATTAAGATATGTGGAATTGTTTTATTTCGAGTTAGTTTTTTTTTATTTGGAAATTTGGAAATGTTTCTTTTAATTTTGAATTAGTTTTTAAAAATATTTGGATATATGTTTTTAAAAATATTAAATATATGTTTTAAAAAATATTTGGAATTTTGAAAATTTGAGAATAAATATTCAAAAATATTTTTTTTTTTAATTTCAAATTATTATTTTTATTAAATCTAAAATATATAATTAATATTTTCTAAATAGAATTTTGAATTAATAAACTAATTTTAAAGGTATTATTGCCATTTAGAAAATATTTAGACTAATAAGACAACTTGAGAATGAAATTAGTCTAAAGGGACAATGTACTAATTGTAATAAGCATTGCAATACTCTCTTTCTTAAATTATATCCAAATGAATAACAGTTGAGTAAAGAAAAAAATTTACAAAGAAAAGGAAAACGAAGAAAGTGTGATTACCTTGAAAGCTTGTATTTCCTTTGCACTGATCAAAGGAAGAAACCATCATGCATACTCTATTCACAGATATTAAACATGTTTCGATATTAGACAGTAATACTAAACTAACACATGCTTAAATGGAATATCCCACTGGTCACCAAGAATTTCCAGGGATTTCGCCTTGTATCGACTTCTCGCCATAGATACACCAAACCGGAGTAAGAGATGATAAAAAATATTAAGAAATTACAAGTGGAATAACTTGCACAATTAAGTAAAAAAAAAAAAACAACTTGCACAATATATCAGTTACACGACATGAAAGGGAGTTAAATAAAAAAAAAAGGAAACAGGAGATCAGACCTAGGGTACATGCGTGGATTGCCTGGTTCGGAAGTTACCAGGCTGGGATAACCATATATTCCTTGGATCAGATCCGACGTGGTAGTGAAAAGGAAAATACAACATCCAAACAAAAGCTCTAGGGTTCATAATTAAAAGAAATAGATTGTGGCACAAGAAACGACGGATCTACACCTCCGGTGACATGAGTGGCTGACGGTTGATGGCCGTGTGGATCGGCGCCGGTGATGTTTGAGATGCGGTGGTTCCTGTTTTTTATGTCACGTCTCGACTCACGTTCTCCTTCTCACGGACCCAATGCATAACGTCGACGCAATGGACGTTGTGGCACGAGGCATGTGATGGACGGGCGCTGCTCCTTGGTAGTGGTGACTCGCAACTTAGATCCTTTGGTAACGGTGATGATTACATACGAGTATGACAGCGCTCTACACCCGAGGAAACAAGCCGGAGAGGAGAACAAGGGGAGTTTAAAGAATAAGAACGAAAATTAGGAGGAAGAAGAAGGTTATGAGAGGATGTGAGGGAGAAGGATTATCAATGGGTGGTGTTGAGTTGTGGCGGCTCGCAATTTAGGTTTAACTAGAAGAAGATATATAGATATATATATATATATATATATATATACGCTTTATTTATATATCACGAATCCAGAAGATTAAGATAAATAATTAAACCAGTTGTCAAAAGAATAAAAATAAATAATTAAACCAAAAAAGAAATAAGAATCGGTTTAGAACAAATTAATGATAAACACAAACCAACTGCTTAAGAAACCGGGTCACTACAATATATATTTTTTCTTAACTTAAGATCTTATATATAATGTTACACTTTCAAGACTTCTCAAGGTTTTGACGTCAGCATTTTGTAGAGCTCATGCGTTTAATTTTTAAAAGTCTATAATTTCTTTTAAAATGACTATGACAAATGAATAACCATTAGTCAAGTGGTAAAAGGTATTTAATTAAGTCTCCAAGCGTGTGGATTCACACCATGCAGCTATTATATATTTTAGTTTTTTCGTTTGGGTTATTATTATACTAGATATGGACCCGTGCGTTGCACGGATTTTGATTAATGTTTTATAAGTTTAATAAAAAAAGATAAAAATAAAAAACTTTTTTTTATTGAAATTGAATATTTTTATATATATGGTGTGTCAAATTCATTTTAGAAATCAAAATTGGGTTTTTTTACATAAGTTTTGGTTAAACTTCAATTCAATAATCATGGCACATATACGTAGAGCTAGAGAAAATAAGCGAGACCCGAAAGTTCAAATTAAAAGCAATCTAAAGAAATGTAAATTAGAGTGAAATACAAAGAATTTGAGAGGTAAATCAAGCCAATCAAGTATATGATAAAGGAATATACTTTATTAAACTCTTAGTTTTGTCTTTATTAATTTGTTTTTATTCTTCTTACTCAAACATATTATGAAGTTTAAATTGTAATTTAGTAATGCTTGTGTTGTCATTGTAAGGTCTCGATTTCTCTGTGCTTTTATCATTTATATACATTGGTAATAGAATTTCTCTATTTTAGAACAAAATTTATAGATGAATCTATAAGTGAATTGCAAATAATCTTAGTTGTATAGGTAATAGAAAACATTATATATCAGCATTTTATCATCAAATTTAGAGGTAATAAAACTATTAATACCTTATGAAATTTTATCCTGTTTTGATTCTTGTAGCCACAAAAATATATGTGTTTTATAAAAATTATGTTTTAAAATCTCGATTGTATGAATAATCTTTTATGCAAATATATTGTATTAGTACATGTTTTAATAGACATGAAAAAGAAACAATCATTAAAAAGATTTTTTTTTTAACATGATTGTGACATGTGGCAATTACATATCTAAGATTATGACATATGTTAAATCATAGTTTTCCTCTTTTTTTTTACTTAAATACTTAATCTAAACGAATTTATTTTTTTCTTACAATTTTCCTTCTTAAAAATACGCTTAAACTAAACAAATTTAAATCATAATAATTTCCATCATCGACTATTACTTCAGTTTTGTAACTGAAGAAAATTGATTAGTTTTAAACTTTAATAGTAGATCAGTATATATCGATATATTTATTTATTTGTAACTATATATTAGTTTTAAACCTTATAGATGAATATCAATGTGTATCGATGATATAAAAAGAAATTATAGTTTTGTTAACGGTGGTTAATTATATTAATACAAATTGTGAAAGAAATTAATTACATAAGTGTTCTACAGTCAAAAATTGTACGCATTTTATAAGGATTCACGTCTACATCCCCATAAGTTTTACAGAGGACTCACACCATACATATTTTTTGTACAATGCTAAAATTATCTTATAAACATTTTGTCCAGTAAACTGATAATTTTCCTTCTCACAAACTCAAAA